GGTGCAAGTGGAGGAGTGGGGAATCAAACCCGGTTCTCCCAGATTAGAGTCAGCGCACTTCACCACTACACCAAACTGGCTCTGGGGATTAGCTTTCGTGCCCGTTCACGCTCCTTCGGATAACTTCTTCAGTGTGCATGCGCATGAAAGTCGATTCCCAGAATTAAACTTTGCTCGTCTTAAACGTACCACTGGATTCCAGCTTCGTCATATTATTTATAGTCTTGACTTTCTCACAGGAACTCAAGGCGGATAACACAGAGGGAGTCAAACATCATCAACAGAACTAGACATTCAATAAAATCTACGACAGCGTTAGGATGGCAGACGTCTGGAATCCGCCGGAAATCTGGGCACGCACCCCCTTCTCCTGCACTGTGCCACTCAGGTTCAGGGTTAGACGGGCAGATCCCCTCCTCATAAAACCCCCAGGCCTTAGCTGTCAGCACCACGGGCAGCTGAGCTCTAACGCCAGACTCCTGAACGTCAAAACCACGTGAACAGGAAGGTGTGGGAGAAAGATATAGGAAATAACATAGGTCCAGAAAAATGGTCAAAAATGTGGAACACAATAAAGCTACTAAAAGCCACATCGTATAAAGAAAATATCTTTAAAATGTTCCACAGATGGCACTGGATGCCAGACAAGGCATTAAAATGTTATGAGAATGTATCAGGGAACTGCTGGAGGTGTGAACGTAATGTGGGTTCCTACTACCACATCTGGTGGAGGTGTGAAAAAGTGGCAAAATTTTGGAAAAGTACAAAACAACTCATTTTAGAAACAGTAGAAGTTGAACTACCATTGGAGCCAGAAATATACTTGCTAAACATGTTGCCAGATAGGATAAACTATAATGATGCACGTTTAATACTGTACGTCCTTACAAATGCTAGAATAACTATAGCTAAATGTTGGAAGTCCAAAAAATTGCCACCAGAATTAAACTTTGCTGGTCTTAAACGTACCACTGGGTTCCAGCTTCGTCATATTATTTATAGTCTTGACTTTCTCACAGGAACTCAAGGCGGAGAACACAGAGGGAGTCAACATCATCAACAGAACCAGACATTCAATAAAATATACAACAGCGTTAGGATTGCAGACGTCTGGAATCCGCCGAAAATTTGGGCACGCACCCCCTTCTCCTGCACTGTGCCACTCAGGTTCAGGGCTAGACAAACAGATCCCCTGCTCATAAAACCCCCAGGCCTTAGCTGTCAGCCCCATGGGCAGCTGAGCTCTAACGCCAGATTCCTGAACGTCAAAACCACGTGAACAGGAAGGTGCTCTATCTATCCTTGGAGAAGAGCCACCTTGCACTATTAGCGGTTGTGATGAGGAGTTCCCGGTTGTGCGTTCGTTCGCACACACGCCCCAATTCCTTACAGGCCCTCCCAGTTTGTAATTTCTACCCGTAAGACTGGCATGCGTATCCCGATGATACCACCCTGTGAAGCGCTGGCATCGACGGGGAAGCGACGGAAACCTGCCCCTGCACACAATTCAGTCTGCCCATCCAGCCCAGAACTGCTCCGTCACCATTCTTCATTCCGTGCCAGTCCCTTTCCACACGCTTTTCAGCCAGGTTGGTGATAATACAAGGCGGGCGAAAGGCTGTAAGCTTATTCTCCTTCGCCGTGTGCGCGCACACTCACACGGACCTCTCCCCGCGCAGGCAACCCCCTCTTTCACCACATTCTTCATCGACCTATAGTGCGCGGCTTCTTCAAAGAGCAATGCCTCCTCAAAGCAAGATGGGTAGCTTGGTTAGTCTGTCTGTAGCGGCAGGAAAGCGCAAGAGACCAGGAGCCCGTTAAAGGCTAACCAAATTCGTGGCAGGGTTAGGAGCTTTCACTGCTCACTTCTTCAAGATGGGTAGCCGTGTTGGTCTGTCTGTAGCAGCAGAAAAGGGGAAGAGACCAGCAGCACCTTAAAGTCTGACAACATTTGTGGCAGGGGAGGAGCTTTTAGACACTGTCTAAACCACACTCAAACTTCTTCTTTTTTTAACTTGAAACAAGTGGTTCTGAGGACGACTTTGGACGTGAAAGGTAGAGATATGAAGGCCCGGGGGGAAACCGGAAAAATTCAGGGGGAAAAACGTTTTTTTCCCGTTTTTTTCCTGAAGCTGTTTTGTTTTTTTCCAAAAAATTGAAAAAATTGAAAAAAGAAAAAAAATGATTATGGAACATTTTATTTTAACATGATGAATAAAATATTTTAAGACAAGGTGTTCAAATATTTTCCAAATCATTTCTAATATATATATATATATGGTAACAGATTGATCTAATTCCTCTGCACTGCGGACAAGCAAGTCCTAGGTTACAAACTGAACTCTCCAATGCAAGAACAAGATGCATGTCTTCCTTTAGGAGGTGCAATTGTCAGAAGAAAATAAAAAAGTTTCAGTTTTGTTTTTGCATGTGGGTGGGTATTCTGTAATAATTGTTTGGATACACTATATTTTTAATAGGCTAGTTGTGATAATTTCATGCCAAGTAAAAATGTCCATAGTCATATTTTATGTTCCTAAAGTAACAGAATGACTTTCAATCTAGAAAAGACAAAAGAAATGCTAAT